CATGCCACTGACACTTTTTTATTGCTTTTTCACACAAAATAATGAAGATACCATAAAAAGAAGGGGGGAAAAATATGGCCACCGCAATGAAAGCTGAGAGAGATGGGTAAAAATCAAATTAAATGACCTTTCACCCCAGCTGTTATTGATGGTTTTCAGTGGCAGCAGGTGTTGTCACAGGGACTATTTGACAATGCATAAATCAAAGCACAATTACAGGTGGTGGACATGCTCAGAGACACAGCATTGCCCCATTTTTTTTATTTTTGAACCCATCTTCTTAACTATCGGCATCGATCTGATTTAGGAGGGTGCGGATCATCCAGACGCAGTCAGAAATTTGAACCTATGACAGGGTAGTTTTTGCCCTGACACTTCCTCATCTTTTTTCCTCATGCGATATTACCGGAGAGACATTATCCTGCGCCGACCCTTCTCCACAACCCAAGGTCATTTCTGGTTGACAAACTACTGCTGGCTTTATAATGTCACAGCGCCTTAAACCTGTATAAGCTGTGTTTTTTGTTTTTCTATTATTTTAAGCCACCGACCCAGTAGAGCAGCAGAGCATAATGCCTAATTGACCTGGGATGAAATGTAGCGTAAAATCTCAGGCCGCAGGGTTTTCCATTCATCTGGATGAATAACTCAAGATTCACTTAAGGAGCTGCTCTCAGTGTGCTTACACACAGCCATATGTCGCTCATCCTTATTGCATGAGCTGGTCTATACTGTAGAAACATAGCCAGCAGTAAACATCTCTGTAAACTATGACTAACATGGTTCGAGATGCGACAACCTTAAAATAAAATAGCACATTTGCATGATAATTACAGTAAAAAAAAATAATTAAAAAATGATGATCCTGCTTTGATTTGAAGCAGAAAAAAACTATTTCTAGCTTAATATAACTATGTGGAATTTTGCAGTAATATTAGTATTACCTTTTACATTTATATTATTTTTTTTTTATCTTTTTGTTAAACAAAGAATAAAAATATGTTAAATTTTGTTTTATATTTCCAACCAAACTTGCAGAACAGCCTTAATATCATAATTGTAATTCATTTTCAAACAATCTATGTTCCATATTTCTAAACAAAGTGATCTGTCCGGTGAGCAGAGGAAAGAAAATATAGTAGCCAACTTAGTAGTAATGGGTAGTAACATGTTGGGGAGGGGCGCTGTTCTGTTATGGTATTCCTAGAAAAACTCTGGTCCTTTCAGCACTTTCTACACATTTCAATAAGGAACTTAAAAGCATGAAAACATAATTAAAGCAGTTTATATCAGGGGTAAACACAAAAGGCAATCAGCTCTGATCAATTCTCCCCCCTTAAATCATTCTCTCTGTACCACAGTCGATCACCAAATAGGCCTAAATCAGAGACAGCTGGACTTTCGCTCAGCTATTCTGAAAATGTTGTGACACTTATGGAGTTTTCTTTGTCAAAGGTGTTGAAATGTTTTCAGGAAAATTCAACATAAGGCAAGTCGCCTCTGATTTAGGCCTGTTTCATGGTTGCAATGACCGGATGAGTGAGAATTTGCACGCTCATATCACATCCTATGTTCACCACAGCTTCTTTACATGCAGTTAAAAACTTATATAACCCAGCTTCAAGTACCAGTAATCAATTCTTCTCTGTGTATACTGTACACCACAGGTTTTCCGGTTCGATCCAGATCCTCGTGTCTCTTGTCAATCCCTGTTTTTTTCCCCGTCTTTGTTTTCTGTATTTTTTTTTTTTTTACATGTTTAAATCGTACACATATATTTTTCAGCTTATTCAACAAAATCCACTTTAATACCTCCAAAACACATTGGATCCATCATCCTAGGAGTTTTTGTTGCAAATAGAAGCAACTCTAGTCCATCAGAAATAGTGATGATCTAGATTTAAATGACGATAGAGCAAAATGCGTAATTTATAATAAAAAAAAAAATGATAAAGCCAGACAGTAATTAGACACAGGAAAAGGGATTACAGATTATATCCAATAAAAGACATGAAGTTGAACATTTCCATGCTCGGTTGTTGTCGAGTGGATGAACAGATTTGGTGTAAATTGCCTCACAGCACACTTTGCTAGCAGAAGCAGTACTGATGCCACATAATCTGCCTGCTTCCAACTTGTCTCAACCTACCAACGCTGGTATGAAAGAAGTATAATTTCTCCACTGCCATGCTTAATACATGATAAAGTCATCCCTGCAAATCACAGGTGTTACCAAGGCGATGGATGGATGGATGGATGGATGGATGGATGGATGGATGGATGGATGGATGGATGGATGGATGGATGGATGGATGGATGGATGGATGGATGGATGGATGGATGGATGGATGGATGGAAACAGGTCATGTAGGATAATTTCCACTCACCTTCTTGATTTTAACTACTTTTTCATTTTGAAAATTGCATCTTAACTCTGTCATATTAGATTGGTTTAAATTTCAATGCAGCAAAGTAATATTCCAGAATTTCTCTCAATGGTGTTTTGTAGCCAACATTGGTTAAGCTGTTAAAGCAGATCCTCCACCATGGTGATTTAGAGAGCCTAGCAGAGTGTGGGGTTGCATCCTCTGCACTGCCATCCCTCATCCACACTATGTGAGTCTCTCCTGTGACCCCCAACCACTCTCCCCCCCTCAGCGGTGTGAGTTTGATGAATGCGGCACATCTGCCCTCCTGAACTGCTGAGACTCTGTCTGGGAGGCCGCTGCGGTTGCAAGTAATGGCTGCTGTTCTACACCGCTGCCACATAATCGCATACGCAAGCAGAGGACGTGTGCGGTTGCAAAACGCTTGTACAGGACTCGTTTCTAAGTGTGTACTTACCAATGACATGGAGACGATCCTATATTTACAAGATGGAGATGTCACTGTAGGTGGGAGACAACCCTTACCTTCTGCTGGTGTAGTAATTCCTGTATGACATCTGCTTGGTGAGGACGTCCTTCCAAATATTACCCATGTGCACCACGTCATCTACAATGATGTTTCATTATGTACCCATCAACATATTGTCAGGTTTAATGCAGCAATGTAATGTCATTAATGTCAGGGTGCCTATACAAACTGCTGTCAGGCTTATCGTGGAGGATGTCTTCATCAGGACATAATTGTTTCCCAGTGTTTGAATCATGTTCAGAAGCCCAAATTACCAGCAAACCAACATGGCTCCCCTTCATCTCCCTGTCTTCCTGTCTGAAGGGAATAGGGCATGGCTAAAGTGAGGTCCACCAAGGGTTGCCTGGAAACGTGGCTGTCAGTCTCTCAGGGAGGCAGCCATGCAGGTGCCCTGGCTACCTGTTCATCTCACAGATAATTAATGTGTACAAGGAGCCGCTAATTGCACTTTTCACTAATGATTTATGGGTTTTGTGAAAGGTGGGAAACAGAGGGAAGTGTGTGTGTACACTCTAGTGAGTGAGTACAGCTGGGTGAGGAGACATGATTGATGAAGAGTGTGTGTAGATGCTCTGTTGTTATAGAGAGAGACACACCCCAGTTGGAGAGAAGTAGTGACACACACACAGATATAGTTGTTCAACTGACATCAATGCCCCGCACCTCTTTCAGGTATGTAGGAGTAACTGAACGAGTCCAAAGATGAGATCCTCATCACGTGCAGCTGACTCTTTCTTATCCTCACCTCTCTGAGACTATAAGGCCCGGTGATGAATGGGTATTGACTTCTTAGCTGAACCCAATGAAGCTGCTTGAATTAAAAGCTACTGAACTGTTTTTTGGCTAATGCCTGCTCTGTTCAGGAAACTTGGATTTTTAAGCAAAGAGGATGAAACGTGTGTGCAGATTTTGCTGATAGAAATTTACACCAATCCATGTTTTCATAGTTCAGTTCATATCTTGGTCTTACTGTGTATCTGTCTCTGTTTATTTCTATAGCATCATTTATTTAGAGGGCTCCAAGGTGCTTTAAAGGAAACAAAGGAAATACATTATAATAATGAAGACCTTTATCATTGTGCACTAAAGTGATTGCATAAAAAGGAACTAATCTTTAAGTGCAAACAGACATAAAGAACTATGGTTGGACGCAATAAACCTTAAAACCTCGTTATTTTTTATTTGATTTTTTTTAATATATAGATTTATCATGAGAGGTAGCTATTTTAACTTGCAATCACTTGCATGTCTGCTTTTGTTTATTTTAACATTCGAAATTGCAGAAGAAATGTCAGCTAATTCAGATGCTTTGATCAAAAGCTGTAGAAAATTTTCAATCCAGCTTTAGAAGAGCTAACAGTTTCTATACGTCTTACGTTTTCAGGCATTTTGTTTTAGAGCTAAGCAGTTTGGTAAATGAATGCTGCTTTCCTTGGTTTAATTCATGTCCTGGAAATCTGAATTAGCTAGTCTCCCAAAACCTGGGCATTCTACATGTTTCATACTTGAAAATAACCTCAGAAGTATGTTTTGAACATATACCAGCCATTGCTTTGTTAATCAATGGCTGTATTTAAAATCCTTCCTTTGTTTTAACATAAGCTCAGATCACAGGTTTCAGAAATGTGGTCATATGATACATGTTCTGATTGTTAATGTGCTGTTTTAATGAAATTGGGCTAATTTAGTAATAGACTTAATGTACTTTTTAAAATGTAAGTTCGAGTTTAGAATAACTCTTAAATTCCTCCCCTGCTCTGTGCCCTTCATCCCCATTAAGTCTAGTTACGGTAAGCACTAATCTTAATCCTTAGGTCTTTTTTGAAGGTTTTCAATTAAAAGGCTTGTTGCTATACAAACATTTACTCTGAAATGTTGCATCTATGTGAAAATATAATTTATATTTCTGGAAATTAGAGTCTGAAAAGGTTGAAAGTTTGACATAAATCCTAAAAGGTTGATGTGGACGACTAACCCTGCTTCAGATCATCTTAATTATTGCTCAAAAATAGTCGTGATTACTTGTTATTTAATGTCTAGGTATAATTTTTTCTTATTATTTCTGTTCTCTTTGCTCTTCCCAGCTTTTAGAGTTTGACAAGGAGCTGTCGGTGTTCAAGGATCGGCTGCATGAGCTGGAAATCTCTTTCCCTCCCAGGTATGGTCCAATGCACTTTTAAAACCTTTGCAGTGTTTATGGATTTTTGGATACAAGTAATTCAAGCTGGTCTAATTAACATTTCATTCCAAAACAAAAAGAATTAACCTTTTTTCTTCATTTGGAATTGTAGGAATTCTACCTGAAATTAATATTTAATTTCCAAATAAATAGCATAGAAAACTTAATAAAGCATTGTTACATGTAATATGCATTTTAAATTTCCAGTAGTAGTTTGTGTTAGGCATTTTCAAATGTCATTTTTCCTAGTTGAAATGACATGTTTTCTTGCTTTACCGATTTGAAAGCATGGCTAAGACAAATTGGACTCTTTGGTAGCTCATATTTATGCCAGATACACAGGTAGTCAGGGTATTGCATGCAACTTATATCCAAGCAAAGTGTAAATTAAAAGAAAAACACCTTTGATTTACTTGGTTCTTTAACTTTTCTAAAGGCAAACACATTTTCTTTATTTAGCTTTGTTATTTCAGTTAAATTGAAGGTTTGATGTATAAAAAAAACAACAAAAACCCATATGAAACTCTGCTACTGCAACCAAAGCTTAGTTTATTTGATCAAGGAAGCAAATAAATCTATACATTAGTGCATTGCATCTCCAGAATGACAGTTTTATAGTTTCAAACACATCATAAAGAAATACACTCAGTTTGTTTTAATAACTCCTGGTTTATAAATTTGGAGCAGCTTGTTTATATTCTGGACAAGATGCTTAAAAATCAAAGCAAACAGATTTGTTGTCAGGAGGCTTTAGAAGCTCTGAAGACTGAGGTCAGAAGCAGAGACTGTCATTTTTTTTCACCAAGGAGTACAATAAAACCTCCTGAATTCTTGTTTTATAGGGATCAGTATGATTGCACATGCTCCCAAACAGCTCCCATGTGAATATAGGCGTGTGTGCTGCACATAGCGCTATGGGCCGCATTGATAATGTAGTCTCAGCGGGACGTGGCGGAGATGGGAGCTGGCGGTCTTCTCTTCCTCAAACAAATGCATTTGCAATTAGCCCTTTCAGAGGAGAGGGAGGGCAAACATGCGGCTGGCGTGGAAATATGTTTCGGGGAACGCCGCGTTAATGGCGCTTGACCTTTGCCGTCGGTTGTGACTCAATCAGTGCAGATAATGAAACGCTGTAATCAAACAATAATTACTTGATAAACTGCTCTAGTGGCAGGCGCAGGGCGGCGGGGGATTTTTAAAGTGTGTGTGTGTGAAAGGACTTTAGAAACCTCAGACGTTCTGAGTGTGTGTGTGTGTGAATCGATTAGAGATTGCGTGTTTGAGGCTCAGTAGGTGTGCGGGTGTCACTTCTTTGCCAGTCCCTGTTTTTTAAATGACTCTGTGTCTTAATCAGGGACCCCATTTACATCACTTTGCATAAGTGACAGGTGGATTTATCGTCCTCTTACACTGCCTGACTCCTGCACCTTTCCATATAATACTGAATCATCTCTCCACGGGGAGGCATGAGCACGCTGCTGTGAAAGAATACAAATGATTTCCTCTCATTTGAGGTGACGATGAATCAAACGCATGAAGCGGCATATGAAAACTGATTTGATCGACTCTGCGACAACACGCATCATTCTCAGGCTTGTAATGGGAACTGGAGGCCTAGTTAAACTTAAACCACCCATCTCTGTCACTCTCATGCATGGACCGGTACCCCTCCCCCTGTCAGATTCGCCTCGTGCTCCTTGAGCAATCAAGCCTCAACGATTGTTCACCGTCACACGCTGCGCTCAGGTCCGTCCCCTCACCATCTGTGGGGTTATTATTCTTTTGTTTTTTTCTTTTAATGCCGGCCATCAGAAAAACCCCTCATCTCTGCACACAGGCATGCACACGCACGGCTCACTTTGCTCCTCAATCTATAAATCAATAATAGCCTCAAATGTTTAATCGTTAAGTTAATTCTCTCCATGGATTGGATTGGATATCACCCTAAGATAGCTGGGCACAAATCAACAGGATCAGACGGAAAAGTCGAAGAAAATGAACGCTACCTGACGATATGTAAAAGTACAAGTGAATCAAAATAAATTAGAACATCTTTTAAACAAAAAGTAACTTGTCTCAGTGATTCAATTTAAAAAGCTATGATTTTATAGATCGGTTTATAACCAAGGGATTCATTCTGCATGTTTAGTTCGGTTTATTGTGATGATTAAGGCTCTAAGCTAATAAAAATCAATATTTAGTTTCTCAGAAACAGAATATTACATTAAACCATTAAAATATGCAGTAAAAAAAAGACATTTCCGGTTTGTTCAGTAGTATTTTAAGGATGGCTTTTTACTGTGGCATTTAACATTTTTGACTATTTACTGTAAAAATGTCCATAGCTGTATATTGGTTATTTTTTCTCCAGATGCACAGTATTTATATTCTTATAAATCTTTACAGTACAGTATTTTATTTGTTTATTTATTAACACTTCACTATTATATTATTCTTATACAGTTTTCTAAGAGTCACATTTGTGTGACAATTTTTTCTATTATCTTTTTCCTTCCGTATCACCAGAATTTCCCAATTTTGGAACAATAAAGGGACTTTCTATTCTATTCTCTTTTATTATAATCTGTTTCTCTGCTGAGATGTTACTTCATGTATGTGAGGTTATGCAGAGGCCACTAAGGAACCATACATTTGGTTCTGTTTCACTTCAGAAACATTAAGGGCTAGAACTGGCCACCAGTTATATGGGCTATATCATAGTGATCATAGTATTTCCTCACTTAAAATTCTTTCTTTATGGTTTTCTGTAATATGCAGTTCGGGTTTCTCAATTTTCTGTTTAAAAGCTACATTCAACGGTATATAAATCAGTTTTATGATCATAATCTGTTCTATTGAGATACAACCTTTGTGTTGTCGTAACAGGGCAAAGGTGATGTTTTTTTAGCTAGTTTCTGAAGCCAGGTATTCCACCTTCTCTGTAGCTGCCGTGGGTCGCAAATTTTTTATTTCTTCTACTTTTTGGAAGTCATCTGTCAAAGTTGGCGGTGACAGATCTGAGTACTTGGGCACTGGGGTGAGGAATTTGCCCCGGCCTTGTGACAGTTGGACCTGGAGCCAGCCGGCTGCCCCGCTCTTACGGGCCGATGAGCCGCTCAGCACCCTCACAGCGATGCAGACGGGCTTACATGTACGCTCAGAGGAAAGATGAAACTATTACGCTTATCGTTTATTTAGAGACGGTTTCTCTATCAGCTGTAATACATGAAACTGCCAACCATCCATGAGGCCATGGACTGCAGCACAGCCATTATTAAAAGTAATGGTAAGTTTACTGGAGATCACGGTAGCTTTTATTTCATATTTTAATATTATAAGGTAGGTAATATCCCCCTAAAATCATACAAAAGTAACAGTAACTTATTCATGTATTTTGATTGATTTAAGGGAAAGCTTTTAGTACTCCTCTGATCTGATTTCTCTTCAGTTTTTTTGCGCAAGATCGATGCAAAAATTGAATTGTTCCCCAGCTACTGAAAAAAATAAATGCAGTGGCTGATGAGCGAGTAGGAGAATGTATTCTTGTTGTAACGTGGTTACTGGAGTGGGCTTTGAGGGAGATTTTGAGTGACATCAGACCAGCGGCACAACTCTATCAGTGGCCATATCATGAGTGATTTCAGAGCTGAAAGATGATGTGGAGGTTGGTGTTGGTGGGGGATGTAGGAAAAGGATATATTTATAAAGGACTAGATTTTTCTTTTCTTTTTTTTTTATAAGAGCAGCATTGCTGGTACCTTAAGCAAAGGTACTGTAAGATTTACAAAAATAGCTTACAGGTTCCTGGAAAGTAATCTCTACATTCCTTAAAAATAACTTGCAAACTCCTAGAAAACAAATAACAAACTGTATTATCAAGAGAGTAATCTCTAAGTTCTTTGAAACTACTGTGTTAATGCCAGAAAGTAAGAATGAAAATCTGGGGTAATTGCAGACAAATGCAGAAAAAAATTTACTTAAAATGCTCATATAAAGTAACCTGTTAGTTGAAGAAAATAAAAAAAAAATAACCTGCAGGTTCTGGAAATTAACTAGAAAAGTCCAGAAGGGAACCTTTGATTTAAAAAATAATAAAAAAAATAAGTGAGTTCAAGAAATTACCCTTCAAGACAAATTGTATCTTTAAGAAAGTAAACCTTTAAGTCGCACTAAATAACAAGACAGCTAACATAACTTTCTGGTTCTGGAAAATTCCAGACAGAACCCTTCATGTTCTATAAGAAATAATTTCAGTTAATCCAAGTAACCCTGAAACTCATCTAAAATAATAAGTTGCAAAACGTTAGCAGTCATAAGGTCGTTTATCTTATGTGTTGCTATCTTATTCTTTTTAATTACCCTTTTGAGTTAATTCAAGTGTATTACAGTTGCTTTTTAATTATACAAAAAATAACATTTTCAGGATGGTAGAGTATCTGGTAGCTCAAGTGGTAAATCACCCATCCTGCAGAATAGGAAGCCTGGGTTCATATCCCAGCTGGGGAAATGAGCTGCCAGTGTGGGTTCTCAGACCCAGTCCAAGTCCAAGTTAGTGCAAGACCCTTAATGCCTGCCTTGAGGAGTGGCAGCCTAGTGGTTAGGACATTGCGCTTGTAATCCTGAGGTTCTGAGTTCAAGCCCCACTCCCACAGACTGCCACTCTGGGTCCCTGAACAAGACCCTTAAACCCCACACTGCTCCCTAAGGGGATAGGTTAAATGCAGAGAGTTAATTTCGTTGCTCACTACTTGTGACAAGCGTAATGACAAGAAAACGCTGGGGGGGGGAAATAACTATAAAAGACCAAGTGCAAAACATCTTCACCTTCATCAACTTTTTTGGCCATGGTTTGACACAAATTAGCTACTGAATATCTAGAGATCTGCTCCCATTATTCCAAAACTTTGAAATATTATTCAATTTCTCAGCTGAACATTCCTGTAGGTGCCCACAGTAGGCCTGTTGGAAATGTCTCGGAG